TAGCTACAATTAATCATCAAGAAGAAGCTAGAAAAGATGGAAAAATCTTGCCTCGGTGTAAGCCCTCATTTTCCTAAATATACACCGACCAGGTCAAAAGTAAAGCTCCTAACTTACAAAAAAATCTAATCTGTTTTTCCTACATCTTTTTTTAGTAAACCTTCTTTGCTTTCATAATCTGCAGGGCCACGAATTCAAGCGTTAACATTCTCCCGTCTAAATCCAGCCCTCCTGGCTAATCTGATCCTACAGCTGCTGTTTCCTCAAGAAATATAAAGCCAGAAGAAAAAAGCAAGCTAATGGCAGAAAGTGGTAGGCTGTTAGGAAAAACAAAGGGACAAAAGGGTGTCATGTTCAGGTGGAGAAGAGACAGAGACAAGACAGCCTGAACAATGAAGCAGGGATCTGCAGCTAAACTTTCTACCGTGTTACAAAGGAGCAAATAAGAAGGACAGAAACAGGCTCACACTGTGCTCCGCACTCAGTAACTCCTGCATCAGGTCAACTCAGCACCACAACTGTTTTTATTATGCATGGCCTGCTGGGGAAATGACAAGAGACATCCTCCTCACACCAGCGGATGGCTGCATCGTCTCTGCAGTGACTGAGACAGGTGCTGAAATGTCCTTGAGCATCCTTGCACGCACAGTCACTGCTTTTGCTAAGGCCTCCGTGGACAACAACTGATCCAAGTTGCATTCCCAGAGTTTGTGTTTTACAACTACAAGGCAGAGAAAAAGATCATTTTTTTGTCACACTTCCATGTATCGGATGACATTTGAATGTCAAACTAGAACAATTTGGAAACTCAATTTAAAAACTGCATTTTTCATTTTAAGAAGGAAAAATGATCCAAATCAACCTGGCCCTAAGTTATAATTGGCCTCCTGGGTATATTCTGAAATAATTGTGATTGATGACTTTGTTTTTGGATTGGTTTCACTGTCCACATCCTTTTTTGAGTACTGGAGTGAAGAATTTGTTTAAAATGAAATGAACCCGTCTAATTACAGAAAGTAGAATTTTGTATTTTTTTTAAACCAACAAATCACACTCTTATTGGAAGAAATCCGAGAACAACTGAAAAAGGTTTTGACTTCTATCAGTCTATAAAATGTTAAAAAGCTCTTTCCAAGCATTTAGGATTCCAGTGTACCACAGAGAAAACCATTATTCTCAGATGGGGAAAAAAACTGAAAAATGGGGAATCTTTGCAGAAGTGACTGACGTACCAAAATATTCCAAGACCGGATCCAGGACTCATCCAGGAAGTCACAAAAGAAGTCAGAACAACAGCTCTGCAGGCCTAATTTGCCTTGGTTAAGGTCAGAGTTCACTATTCCACAGTAAGAGACTGGGCAAAAATAAACTCCATTGGAGAAATCTAAGGGGGAAAAAACGGAGCTAACTAAAAAGAAAGCAAAGGTCAGTCTCTAATTTATTAAGAAACATCTTCACATCCCCTTTAGAAAACTAGCTTGTGGCACAAAGTGGAAACTTCTTAAATATTTGGATCCTGTTATGTCTAAAAAAAAAAGTCACATTACAGAAAAATAACTTTAAAACTATGAGTAAACATGGTGGTAGCGTGATGGTCTGGGGTTGCTTAGCTGTTTTAGGTCATGGATGAACAATAATTTCAACTTCCTGCAAGAGAATCCTGATGGAGAATGTTTGGCCATCAATTTGTGATCTACAGCTGAAGTACATTCAGTTCAATGTGGCTGAATTGAAACATTTTTTCAAAGAAAGAAGAGACTGCCGCAATTCGTCCTTCGTGGTGTAAAAGTTTCCCTGCCTGTAATTGAATGACTCCTGGTTGGTACAACTACTTTTTAGATTTACTTATTTAAATAAGGACCAGATTGATTTGACTAGCTTTCTTACTTAATTGATGAAACCAAAAAAATCTGTAGGTGAGATTTCCCCCCTACAGAGAATGTGCATCTTCTCATACTCACTCTGTAGTATGAAAAAAATAAACTGCGTTATTCTAAGCTCACGCTGCGAGCCTGTCTAATTACGTGATCGTTCAAATACGTGTCTGGGCGTTAGTGTGTGGACAAAGTTAATGGTCCCTGAGGCTTTTGCTAATCAGATTTTCTCCCTTAAGGCCAGATGACTCATTAGAAGCCCAGGGCTTCCCAGGCTCCTTCCAGTGAAGTTTCACAATGGCTGCATTTTCTCCATCAGGTCAAATGCCCCTGTGTTCAACAGGGCTGGTCAGAAACTGTGACTCGGTTTTGTCCCGACCTGCTGCTGCACACCACCAGTTAGGTAGCAGATTTTCTGCAATTAAATTAAATTAAAGCAATTAAATTATATTGTACATTTTTGTTTTAAATGTTTGTGTAAGCACCTATATTAATTCAAGTTTATCATACAAAAATCACAATTGTTACTATGAATTCATAATTTAGATAATTAAACTTCAGCTTTAGTGTTTTTTTTCTTAACCTTGGATAAAACAAAAAATCAACTTTGTGTGAGGTTTTTGTCATAGCACACCATGAGTTTCAAATATGATATAAAAAAGGCTCAGGTTGGGCTGGCATAAACCATATGGCACCGTAAACTACCATATGGTCTTGGCACCATATGGTAGCTTTTCTGTGTGAAGGCTCTCATATGGGGAGTTTTCACAATTTGAATGAAGTTTGAATGTTCTGCTTGAACATTCGTTGGTTTTTGTTATGCACTTCCTGCTGCTGTTCTTGCACATTTAAAAATATGCTTGTTAGGTGACGTGAAGATCCTAGATTGCACATAGATTTGAGTTGATGGATGTATGGATGGATGTATGGATGGATGGATGTATGGATGGATGGATGGATGGATGGATGGATGGATGGATGGATGGATGGATGGATGGATGGATGGATGGATGGATGGATGGATGATGGATGGATGGATGGATGGATGGATGGATGGATGGATGGATGGATGGATGGATGGATGGATGGATGGATGGATGGATGGATGGATGGATGGATGGATGGACAATCTGAGCTGTGTCTCTACTGAGGCTATTGTAATTCAGCCAGCTGATGTCAGATGCTGAACCATTTGAGCAGACAGCAGATGTAAGCAGAGAGAAATCAGGGTAAATGTCATCCACAAACACAATGCTGATTTGCCTTAAATGGACTACAGAGACAATTGTGCGAAAGATGTCTTATAGTGAGCCAATGTATTGACTTTACACATTTACAGTACGCCTTGCTTTTACCAGGTTGGATCCCCTTCTGCTTGCAGAGAACCTTAATTATTTTAGCAGCTTTCAGTAAGGTGTTTAAAGCATTCCCCAGAGATTTTGGTCCCTATTGGCACGATAGCATTACACAGAGGCAGAAAATTTATGCCTGGAAGCCAAATCCATGAATCTACAAAAGACGCTGTACTGGGCTGAGATCTGGGGAGGCCATTGGAGTACAGTAAACTCACTGTCATACTGACAAAACTTAATTGAAATGATTTGAGCTTTGTGATGTGGTGCATTTGTTGAAACAGACAAACTGTGGTCAAAACGGGCTGAACATGGTCAGCTCCCATACTCAGGTAAGCTGAAGTGTCCAAACAATGTTCAATTATTATCAAGAGGCTCAAAGTGTGCAAAAATATATTATTCACACCATTACTCCACCACCAGTCTGAACTATTGATGGAAGGCAGGATAGATGCATGATTTCATCCTGTTTACACCAAATTATGCAACGATAAAACTGATGCTCAGTTTCCATCAGACTGACTGCAACATTTTCTACAGTCAGTCTGTGTGAATTGCAATCTCTGTGTCCCATTCTGAGGTCTTCTGCTACGACAGCCCATCTGCTTCAAGTTACCGCGTGTGCTATGTTCAGAGAATGCCTTGGCTGGAAAGATGTGTTTCCATTATCTGGATTTTCTCTGGACGTAGGTGTCATTTAAGCCACTTATTTCCTCTTTAATGTACAGTCCTCCATAAACTAGAGAGGATGTTAAGTGTGAAAACCCAGAGCAAATTCTGAAATACTCAGCCAATCTGGCACAGACTCCATATGGAAAATCCCTCCAATCGCCATTCTTCCTCAAACTGGTGTTTCAGCAAGCACAGCAACATGTCTGAGTTGCTCCAAAGTGACTGATTCACAACGTGCTTACAAGCACCTGAACAGGTATACATGATTAGAGTATGCACTCAGCGGTGCCTTCCATAAAAGCAGGAGGAAGACATATTTTCCAGTGGATGAATGATAAGTAATTTGTCCTTGGCAGACAGGATGTGGGAGCTGTTTTCGCTCCATGCCTCTCATTAACCTACCCACTCAAATCAAGACCTCGGTGTTAATGAGTGAGAGGGAAAGAGACACAGAGAGGTGAGTGATAACACAATTTCTTTGCACTCAAACTCCCTTTAGCGTTCATGTGCTCTGCTTCAGCTGGATCCAGTTTCTTTTTTTTTTTTAATTAAACTATAGATAAATAGCTATATTATAGAAATAAAATATAGATTACCTACTACTTAGAGCACAGACATTGTATTTAACACTATAGGCTTAACTGCTATTCCAAAATATAAAGAAACTAGAAAAATGACTTTTTAAAAAAAAATACACACAAAAAAACAAGAAAAACAAGAAAAAAAACATAAAAAAGCACGACTTTCATTATAATAAGTCTGTAAAAACGTATCATCTAATAAAACCGCACAATAGCGCGGTGTGCTGGATTGCGCTCAGATATGGAGTGTGAGGATTATTTCTCTACATCATCGCGCTCGCTGCTGTTACAGGAAAGATGGTGACACAGCAATGAAAGAGTCGTTTTCTCCACCTGCCTCCTCTCCAACATCACACCGCTCATGTTTGTTTTTATTTTTGGGCTCGCTCCACCTCTACTTCCAGAATTCCCCATCCTGGCCAAAAAGCGTACAGGGCTTTTTTTCTACGGCTTGACAAGGTGATTATTGTCGCACACGGGCGTATCGATGAACGCAGCCAATGGATGGAGAAGGTACTCACCTCCCACAATGGCGAAGAAAGCCAGCAGCAGCCGCGGCGGCAGCTGCCAGCGGTGCATCATCGTGCGCGCTTTGAGCCCGGAAAGGTGTTCGCCCGGATGGAGAGGCCACTCCAAGCGCAACCCGCAGTGTTGTTCCCCCACCTCCTCACGGCTCCGAAACCTCCTCTTCACTCTCTACCTGACATGATGACGTCTCTCCCGGGAGGGGAGATAGAGGGGGTATCTGCTCCTTTCCTTCCACCCCTGTCAAGGAGGAAATTAAAAAAGAAAAAAAAAAACCTAGAAATGTGTTCTCGGTGCAGCCAGGTGAGCTGTGCGCTGGGCTGCGGGCTGCTGCTGCTGACCGCGCCGAACGCCGCTTGGAGATGCGACGCGCTGGACAGGCGGGGGCGGGGCGCCGGGCACGATGGAGCAAGCAGGGAGGGGAGGATGCACCTCAGAGCTCCACATCAGCCAGCCATGCCAGCGTCTTTGCTCACTCATCTCCATATAATATTAAGCACTCGCAGGCACGAACAGAATGTCCAATGTTGACTTTCCAGTGACCTTGTCAAACTCGATGGCATCTTTTTCTGTTTTTCTGGCTGCTTCAACTTTAGTGTCAAATATGTTTTGAAATTTTATCATCTATAAATTATTTTTTTTCTAATCAGTTTGGAATGGAAAACAGAGTTGTTCCATAAATATTGTATTATATATTTAAGCTTTTTGTTTAAGTTTAGACTTATCTCTCATGTTGCCCTCTGACGAGATGCTGATGCCCATAGCATCCCTATTAGAAACCACCACAGCAATTCTCCATTAGTTTTGCACGACTACTAACCAAAACATTTTCTAATTATTCTTCACAAAACAACTCAGTCAGACTGGCTGGACAGGAGCTGTGAGTTCAGAGGTCAAAGTAGTTGAAAAAGTTTTCTGTTCCACAACAAATCTCTGTCATGAACTGAGATTATTTATTCTATTTAATCTGCTGGGACTCTATTTACAGATTAGGTAAATAGAACATCTGAAGACATTTTACTGGATTTTATTAAGGGGTGTTAAATTAAAGAGGCTGACTATAAATTCCGTTTTCTGTTTATTTATTTATTTTGTAGGTTTTGGAAAAACCACGTCTTTTTCCATCTCACCAACATGCACTGCTTTATGCGTCTCTAAATCTTGATCAAGTATTACTGTCACATTTTCTGTTCCTCTTGTCTAAGGCTTATAACTCAAAGTAAGGTGTAAATAAGTTATACAGAAAGGTAGAAAAATCTGAAATATCATTCAGGAGGGAGAAATGCTGGGCCCAAAAGGCTTGCCTTCCCCTAATACCTCTTTGCTTTTTTTTTCTCCATCCCTTCCTGCTGAAAAACGAGACTTAATGGTCAGGTAATATTGAAAGAATGAAACTGGGGATGAGATGTCATCAAATTTGCCGGACATAAAAAAGGCCAGAGAAGACATAGCAAGTCAAAAGTGTGTTGGAGGAATGTGGGGAAGAAGCTAAGGGATGAATAAACAAAGTAAAAAGCGAGATAGAGGGAGGAGGCATTTGCTGTGGTGACTAAGAAAAGGTCCACCAAGAAGCAGCCTGTTTCTTTTGCATATCTATTTTCATCACACACACAGAGCAGAGGCATGTACAACTAGCACACCGTGCACAGTTATTCCCATAATATATCCACACACATACACAAAGGAAAACTCTTCCGTGGATTCATCTTTAAACCCTCTTCTTACAATCTCATCCTTTCCCCGCCTCCGCTCTGCAGTGAATGAGCTGACCTGACAGTGCTCCTCCCCTGCACTGAGTGCAGCGAGTCTCCCCGTGAATTATTTAGAAGCTGGGACCCCCACAAGTGCTTGTCTTCCCCTAACACCCACTCAGACTCCTTCTTTCGTTGCTTTCTTTTTCTCCATCCCTTCCTGCCCTGCTGTCATTCTGTCTTCGGTTTGCTGCGATTACTTCCTGTGACTCTGTCACAGCTGGGAAACACAACACACAAATCTCATTGCAGGTCGCAGACTAATTATTGGAGTAATTGAATAGGAACTAATTTTCATTTTCAGGACATTTTATTATTTCTCATTTATGTTTTACAGGATTGAAGCTACATATACATATTTTCGGTTAGTTTTAATCTTGAGCTCAGTTGCTGCCAAATCATCATAAGTATCATTAGGAATGAAGAAGTGCTGGGTGAAATGACCCAGAGCTGCTCCAGAATAAAACAGCATTGGTGTGTGACAATGCTAAAATATTGCACCAGGTCCATTGTAAGTGCAGAAGTCTGACCCCAAGTTACATGCTCACCAAATTTTTTGCAGGTAAACAACATTACCCTGAAGGAATGATGTTCAAGATAATGTTAATAGTTAAGACAGTGATGGAGAGAGAGAAAGCCATTTTTGTTTTACAATGTCGCCATTGTACAAAAAAAAAAATCCTTACTGTTGTATTTGCAATAATTTGTTGCATTTAAAGCAAGCCAAAATTGTTCTGGACACTAGCAACAGTAGACATCAGTCTAAAATTAGTTTTGTTTGGCAAACAAAACTAATTGTGTTTGCCAAAATTAGTTGTTTTCCAAAATTAGGATGAATGGAGCTTAAAGTGCAATTTTTCTAACTTCCTTCTGGATCCAACTTAATATTACTTAAAAAACAATAATAACAACTCTCTAAACTTCCTGCTTCCTGCACTAATATTGTGGCATAGCATATGTCACAATATGCCTTGGTGCTAATGCTACAAATAGGACCAACAACTGGGGATTGACTTTCCCTGGTTAAGTTTTGTATGCTTGCGCTTAAGTTGCCATCACCTTCAGGCACCACAAGGAGGTGCTGTAAGAATCATGTGTCCAGCACCCCAAGCTTCATTTTGGTTGTGCCCTACTTTATAATTTAATTAAGAGAACATACTTAAAAAAAAAAGACAGTGTTGTGTAACCTTGCCATCTGTGACCAAGTGAGAAGCAGAATACCAAAGATTTAGTCTCTTCCTGACTGTAAAAGATTTGGCTTAAACTGGAGCTAAAACAAGCCGCTTCAGACGTGTATGTTCTGGAGGCAGTCTTGCGCTCTGACCCATCAAGGAGGTGTTGCGCGACCAATGAAGCGACTCAAAGAGCTGACATTGACAGGAGCGAGCCGTGTCTTTCTGGGCGATTTCTAACACTCACATCTCATATTGCAGCGGTTCATTCACAAACCATCCAGGTTTTACTGTGTGGGACCTACATTGCTACTATGACTACAATTATTCATAGCTCTTTTTATACCGCAGCCTGTCTCTCCTCCCACTTTCTCCTCCCTCTCATCATTCCCTGTAGAGATGGTGCTACCTCACTCCAACTACTCACCATGGCAACATGGTAATCCCTGAACAGAAATATTCTCACTGCCTTACTCTCTTTTTTAGAGACACGGAGAAAAGGGAACAACATGTTCACACACACTCACTTACACATGGGTGCACAGAGTCACGCCTGCACAGTCATGCACACGCTCCGTTAGAGACGCTCATGCAACCCAGCACACTGGTGTTTACTGGTTAAATACATATCACCACAAGCCCATGACTTCAATAATTGTTGCGTGTTCTTGCTGACTGTTCATCTGTGTGTGTGTTGGTGAGGATGGAAACAGCATCCATGAGAGTGGACAATTCAGTCTGTGTGCGCTCAAGTTTGTTAGTGCAGGTTGAACGTGAACCTCAGCCAAATGTCTGCTGAAAGATTTTATTAGAAAGTATCTCTTTGGTACTTTTGCACCTAAAGTTATTCACTGTTCACCGAGGATGTTGTCAGCCAGCATACATATATGGGATAAATAAGAGCAACCAATATGAGTCCCAAAAAGGTTTTTTCCACTTTTTACGTGGTGTCTCTACAGAGGTTTGCCCAGTTTTCAGTGGGATCCAGATGGCACTTGATAGAAACACTGAAGGGATCATTGACTTCCCAGAGGTCCATAGGGGGAGGATATGATGCATGGGTATGGGGGGGTGTCAAATTACAACATGAAACAAAATACAGAGGCTCTGAGTTACAGAAACTTTATTAGATAAACACATCAACACAAAGGCAAACAACAAAATAAAAGAATGTTAAGAAATTAGAAAACAAAAACAACACATGATGGAAATTTAATAACATAGCATCTTAGATACAAAAACATCACGAGTATAAAGTGTTAACAATGTTTACAGTTTGGTTGTAGCCTACTTTTTGTCTTTTAGTTGTGCTTGCTGTTATTTTGCATTCAGAAAAGTTGTTGTTTTTTTGTATATTTCTTTTTCTCCGTTTTTCAGTGTTTTGCATGTTATTTCTAACCTTAAGGTTCTCATAGTAGCAACTTCCTTTTTAATGTGAACGGCAGAGACTTTATTCCAGACGTGTTTGCAGAGTTACACATGGCAAAACACTTTTTCTGACTGTGTTCTGCAGTTTAATGAGAACTTCTCAGTTACACTCACTCCAATCATTCAATCAATAATGCTCATTCTCCTGACAGACAAAGAGGCTGGAAAAGGAGTTTCAGGGCAGATCAATAGGCTCATTCACAAGTCAGGATACCTGTACATACTCTAATCAGGCATATTGATCCTGCAAATGGGGCCTAACTGGATGTAAGCAAGCTAATTAATTATGTTGTCACTCTTTTTAGAACACTCCTTGAGGATATTATACAGATCTTATATACGTGATTCGAATTGAATCGAGGGTTGTTTGCATAATTAGGGCTAATGTAATGTGTAATATCCACATTACATTAGGTAATGTAATGTGAAGGTTTTCTGTGAACTTATAGACAAAACAATGAGTCAGATGCAACATAGAGTAACAATAAATTGGTCATCTTCCTGCTCAGGTCACGGATTTACTTTTTGGCAATTTTATTGAAGACAGCACCGCAGCACTGAATTTTAGTGTCTAACTTTGACCACTAGGTGGTGTCTTGAGGCAAGACAACCCCAGGAGGCACACTAGATCATTTATAACGGTAAATATTCTGAATTCTGTGCACAGATTTATTAAAATGTTTTATTGGAGAGTCATGTGCAGTGGCCTGCTAATGCATTTCCTTATATTCCTTGGTCTTTTCACGTTTTAGTGCTGCCGTGGCACTGGATGCTGCAGGGTCATGTGTTCTGCTCCTGTGAAAGGCAGCCTGTGAGAGCAGTAGTGATAGACCAGCTCAGAGATGCTGGAAAACACACAGCTGCTCTGATCCAAGGTGTAGCCCACTCCCTTGCTACTCTTAGTCTGGGCCACAATGATGTGAACACAACTTTGACTGGTCCTGATGGAGCCAAACAAAAACAGAAAAGAGAAACATATAAATA